ATGCAGAGGACATAATACCTGCACACACAATAAATAAAACTGAATTTTTCTATTTTTTATGAAATTTCCATTTTGTATTTGAATTCTAAATCTAGATAGTGATTAATTAAATTATTTTTGACTCACTTCTTAAAATTAAAAATTGTCTATATAATTGGATTCTTATATATAGAATTTTTTTGTTTCAAATATAACTTAAGTAAATTATTTTGATTGATTGATTGAATTTTCAATATCGAAGGTATGAGGCGTTAGGGTTTGATGTGAGTTATTGCTATTTATATTTATAGAATCTAAAAATTAAAGATTGGGGCTATTCTCACCCTTTATATCTCCTTTTCCACTTTATTTAATCATCTTACTTCAAATTATTAGCTTCATCCCATCTATACACACATCATTGGTTATTAAACCCACCTTATCTATATTCACTAATTAGAAATTAAATTAATTAAATTTTATTTCAACCTACTATATAGGCAATGATCAAAATTTTATTTTTGTGTATTATTTCGGTGAGAAAATATTTCAGAAGCAGAATAAAAATTAATAATTATTTTTATATATTAGTCAAAATATCTTAAAACACCTAAAAATATTCTAAAGATATTGGAGAAAATATCTCAAAACATCTTAAAATAATATAGATCATCTCAGAACATTGAAATTTCGTTTCAATTACTAATTTTGTTTCGATTTCTTTGACATATATTTAATAGTTTAATTGAATGAGTATAAATTGGATGACCTTAATAACTAATGAGGTGAGTATATATGGGGTGAATAACCCCACCCTTTCAACCAACCAAAAAAAATAAAACAAATAAGTAAATCAACCCTACTAAAATTAATAACCAACCTTCCACGTAAAAAAATAACTATCCACTTTTCATTCGTGTAAACAAATAATTATTCAAGTGAGATTCATCTTGCCCACTTGGTGTGTTATTATTAGTTAGCAATACCATGTCAACATTAATGACATGGTATCACCTTTGCATTGAATATTTATTCTAGAAAGAGAAGGAAAAAAATATTTTATAGAGAGAGGAAGTATGTAAGGGAGAGAATTACCAAAAGGAGAAGGGGAGAAAAAAGATAAGAGGTGCAAATAAACAGGGTGATAATCGGTGTCGCTGTGTCACCAAAAAAGGGAGTTTGTGGTTGGAGAGGAAAAAATATTGGATATAATGGTAACACCACATAATATTAATGATGTGGTGTCACCAACTAGTGATAGAATACCAAATAGATTTAGTGGGCTCTAGTATTTTACTAACCTACCAATAACTACCTCTGGCATGTAGATTTAGTGGGCTCTATTATTTTACTAACTATCAATAACTACCTCAGACATGTTGGAATAGTGAGATTCATTAATTTTATTTATTATTTTATAATTAGTTGATAATATCACGTGACAATGATGACATGGTGTTATCATTACACTCAATATTTACTCGTTAGAGAGAAAGGTAGGAGAGAAATGGGTGAGAAGAAGGAGAAGGGAAGGAGAGAGATAGACCGTGAGGTGTGCTCCGATGTTGGTGCTAATGTGGCATTTACCACGTTAGTTGGGATGTTGGTTTTGGTAAAATACTTGGCCAGCATAACTGTACGGGCAAAAATTTGCACAATCGCTAAAATGTGTTGAGGTGCACCCCTGGTTTTCGAGTATCACAAAATCCATGAGCTGCAAATTCACAGAGAGGTTAGAGGAACCCTTGGCGTTGTGCCAAGGGAGGCCCCTCCGATGTCTAAGTATTGCGATCAACACGTGAATATACTAGTGTACAAAACTAGGAAAATAATATAGTGTGTGTGTGGAGTATGGAGCCGAGGTGCTCATACTTGAGACCTCCCTACTTTTGGGTCTTCACCCATCTTTATAGAGAAAGTGGAGAGTTACTTACAGTTAAGAGGTCATGTTTTTGGGGTTGATACATTCTTAAGATACGTGTCTATGTAGGTATTAAAAATTATGCTTGACTCTAATTGGTCAATCAACAAGGCTGTCAGCTCTGTATTGTCTTTAGAAGATAAATTTTGGGTCTTATTATGACACACTCAAATGATGTGGGGCCCTCTCCATTGACGTAAAATATTATCCATCAACTGCCCCCAACTTTTATGTCCTTCGTAATACTAGAAGGGGATGAAAACTACAAAGAATATTCATGTTGTCTTTGATAAGATATAGCTAATGATAGATATGTCGAGATAAGCGATCATGAAGACCGAATCAAACAAATAATAGCATGCACAGAGTCCTAATGCATTTTTCTTTCCTAACAAAATACCAAGATCAATATATGTAGAGCTCAAAGATTCTATAATCAATGAATGATAATCCCAATAATTAGAATAATGCGTCTGTCAGATATCATAGTTGATCTCTTCATGCTTGATCTAAGGATAAGAATTCATACAAGAAATCCATCACACCGAGCAATAATGAGGCGTCCCATTGAAAGGTAGAATAATGGAATCCCGAGCATAATCATAAGATGTTGTCAAAGAGAGTCGAGCATTATTGAAATGCCTTATTAATGGGATGGATAACATAATACCAAATATAACCATAAGATATCACTAGAGAGAGTCGATTCCTGAATAGGACAACCATAATTGAATCTCAATCGCATCCAAAGAAGATAATAATATTCGAATCCCAAAAGGGACAATACCTGAATTCCAAAAAATGATCGTGGGGTGTTGTCCAAGGAAGACCCAACCACTGGCCTATAGAAATGACCTAAATAAATGTTCACTCAAAGAAAAATAGAATAAACTTGGCCCATTGAGAATGGCCATAAGAGAAGGCCCGAACATAAATGTCCCTTGGTCTCGATAATTTCGAGTTGACAATGAACTCAACTATGTGTCTTGTCTTTTCCTATCATGCAAGCAACATTTAATTGAAATAAATAAAATCGTACATTATGAAATCAAGTCTTGAATGTACTAAGCCCGCAATTAAATGATTCAAGGTTCTCTCAGATTTTGTATTGCGAGAATATTTATATCTGACCTCCGAACATACACGTTGATGCTGGGCCAGTTCTTTTCCTCATAACTGTATGGTATCCATAAACAAGGAGCATTCTTAAATGCAGGTTCTTGAGCTTGTTGCTGAGAAATTTTTGCCTATGATAGGACTGTTGGTGCTTTGGCCTTGCAAAGGCTTACACGTGTCCAAGGTCTAATCCCGAGTCTTATGTCACTTCCCTAAATAAGGAGTACTCCCGAATCCAAGTTCTTGAACCTGTCCCCAAGAGGTTTTTATCTACAATAGGACTTTTAGTGTTTTGGCCGAGTAAAGGCTTACCCATGTTCGAGGTTTGACCCCAAGCCTCATGTCACCTCCTTCAATAAGGAGTACTCTCAAGTCCAGGTCTTTGAACCCGTCACTGATAAGTTTTATGCCAACATTAGAATTTTTTGTGCTTTGGCTATGCAAAGGCTTACCCATTTCTAGGGCCCGAAGCCCTCCTACTATCTTGTGCACAAAGACTTTTCTCCCCTCCGAACCCAATAAACTAGATCTGATGTCATTGGACATTTTGAATATTTAAGATGTCTTTGTGCTCGGCTCGAGGTTTCTGCCCCTAATTGGGGGCTCAGTGGACCACTTTGTCTGAGCTTTGTCCCTCCCTCTGCTGCCCATGGCGTTATATCATCAACTGCAACATTATATGCCTTGCCAAAGCTTGGGAGACATCATGGAGAACAAGGACCAATGCGCCCACACCCACATGTTTCAGAATTGTTCAAAACTTTGTTCAAGTGGCAGTAGGCTTTGGTGAATTGAGTTTTCCACTCCATATTTCTTTGTGTTAAGGATTTTCTTTGCTAGAAACAAAAAGCCTGATCTTTGGGGCATGGATCACATTTTCCCACCTCTACTTGAAACAGCGCCAAATGGTGCTAGAAGATTTCTTGTTTAGCCCTAGCATTGTCAATTCATGTGCGCCTAACCTTGCACCCCCCCCCCCCCCCCCCCCCCCCCCCCCCCCCCCCCCCACCCCCCCCCCCCCCGCA